ATGGATAATAAGGTTTTACATTAATTTCTTCAATTATTCAATCAATACATCATATTAATAATGAAATGAATCATAATAATTTAATGAAAATTACATACAAATTGTTTTAAAACAACCTTTAGATGCAACCACTAGTAACATTATATAATGCAAGACATCACTGGTACACGTGCGTGTTCACTGGACTTGCGGGTAAGAAGTTTGAACCCCGTTTAAAGTCATTCTACGGTCTTTATAATGACATCGTTACCAAATACAAACTATCACTGGGTCGTACGATGTCTCTTTTGATTCATTACTACCTTACGTAAATCAACAGTTAGGTCTACATCATATTCGCACCAAACTTTACTCTGTCCCTTTGAAACTTTTACATAGTCTTCTTGAAAAGGTGAAGGAAAGTCCATTGTTTGATTCCTCGACACCAGAATATAGGCTCGGATCTGTGATTATGGATATTGCAAATCATAGGCTTTTTTAACCCCCACGTTTTACTGAAGAAGAAGCAGCTAATACAGTGCATTTTTCCTTAAACTTCAATATGCCAACAAAGGAATATAAGTAATATTCTTAATCACAAACAAAAGGGTGCAGTCTTGTATTCCACCATATTTCAAGTTAAAGACTACACCTTGTATTTCCTAAAAATATATATCGACTATTGCTTCCAAACTTTTTAATTACAAGAAAACTTTACAGTGCCTGGATATCGAATATCTGAAACATAATCCTCCATCCTGTTCATGTTCTTCTTCACCCTATAACTATAGTCCTTTTGGACACGTTATTACTGGTGACATAAATATAGTTAATAATGAGGACCTTAGATCATTAATTTTAAAAGGTCCTAAATATAAGGAACCCCGATCCTTCAACTGGCGTCGGAATTTCATAAATATTATGGATTCTGTAGAGGATTAAGCCAGGCGATGGGCCAGACATAAAAAAGAAGACCTTGACACTTTGTCAGAATGGATTAAATATATCAGATGTATGCTAAACTCGCGCATTAAAAGATTGAGGGGCAATATGAGAACCATCTATCCTTTTGTATTCAATAATCCAGAAGTGAAAAAAGAATTAGATAGATTACATGATCAGTACGTACTGGTCCCTGCTGACAAAGCAGGTAACAATATTGTCTTTGTTTGTAAGGCTCATTATATTAAATGTATTTTAGAGGAACTTGCATTTAATTCTACAAGTGGTAATCCAACTTATACTCATAGTTCTCTTTCTAAGGAAGAAATTCTTCAAAATCAAATGTCAGTTTTGAATATTTTTAATATTCCAAACAACCAAAATGAGTTTGAATTACCATATCTATATTGGATTCCATTAAAATCCTTACTAACAAAGATACATAGCGGGTTCCAGTAATGTTCAACCAAGCCTCTTTCTTTACTCCTCACTAAGATATTATCAGTAGTGAATTGGAAACTTCAAGAGTACTGTGCATCAATATATTCGAGAAGTGGTGTAAATCAGATGTGGATACTTAAAAATTCCAAGGAACTTTTGGAAAATTTGAAATCACAAGATTTTACCAAAATCAACAGTTTAAAAACTTACGACTTTTCAACTTTATACACAACCATTCCCCACGATAAATTAAAATCCAGGCTTTTTGATATCATTGACAGCTGCTTTTTCAATAAAAATGGAACTCGTAAATTTACTTATCTTGCATTGGTCATTTGCAAAATTATTTTGTTAAAAACATTCTGATTGTACACACAATTACTCTGAAGTTGACATTAAAAAGATGCTTGAGATTCTGATTGACAACATCTATGTGATTTTGGATACCAGGTCTTCCAACAATCTATTGGAATTCCCATGGGTACCAATTGCGCCCCGTTATTAGCAGACTTTTTTGTATTCATATGAAGCAGAATTTGTCCAAAATCTTATACATGATAAGAAGAAAACACTTGCTGTGGCCTTCCACTCGACATTTAGATACATCGACGACGTATTGTCAATTAACAATTGTTATTTCCATTCTTATGTCGATACAATATATCCCGGTGAGCTTGAGATAAAAGATACTACAGAGTCTGACACATCTGTTTCATATTTGGATATTTCACTTGAAAAAGACGTTAATGGTAATCTAACAACCAAGTTTTATGATAAACGTGATGACTTTAACTTTTCAATCGTCAACTTCCCTTACTTAGGCAGCAATATACCTTTATCACCTGCATACGGTGTTTATATCTCTCAGTTGATTCGATACGCAAGAGCATGCTCTACGTATGCACAATTTCTAAAACGAGATAAATCATTGACAAACAAGTTGATGAAACAAGAATATCAGCAGTCTCGTATAAAGTCATCATTTCGTAAGTTCTATGGTCGATACAATGACCTTGTCAGCAAATACAATTTATCATTGAGTCAAATGCTGATTGACGTTTTTCATACTAATTGTTAGGCCATTATTTACACACTGAATTGTCGACGGATTTTTCTATTTCCCGATCATGACAAGGAGCACACGGCGGTTGTGACCGGTCGGCAGGGGATGCTCACTCCTCAATGGCACCTGATCCCAGTTCTGATGTTTTGGAGGTCCGTGTTTGCTCTGCACCTATTTTGTAATGTTTAATGGACTTTTGAGCTTGAATACTGTTCGTTATCTCCATATATTTCAGTCTGACATGTTTGTTACCAATTGTTTGGTAATTGCTTAGCTAAATTTGACTACGGAGTATTCCGTATTCCTGATCAATACATAGGACTCACGGTTGGTGTGACCAATCAAAAGGGGATGCTTACTCTTGCTAGGCATACTATCCCATTTTTACACTTCGTTATTAAAAATATTCTTCTGTTGTCTTCATTAAACCATTACATTTACTTACGAAGTAAAATATCTTCGGAATCCGTATTTTCCCTTGTTTTGAGAAATTTTAATCATATAGCTGAGCAATATCATATACTTATAGGATAGATAGATGTGCTTTGATAAAGAATTGTGCTTTATTTCTTAATTTATTGATTTTCTTTTCTACCTTCCCTCTCAAAATGTTTCACAGAAGTCAGTTATTAGCCTTCTCTGATCGATATCCTTCTCCTTATTTGGAAAAAAATTATCTTGCTTTAAAGATAGATTTCTCTTTAAAAAAAAATACCGTATAAGTGGAAATTTTAGCGAGACGCAAATTTAGCAATTTATCACAAAAAATGGTCAATATTTTTAGGGAGAAGTAATTTTAGCGATTTTATAATGTAAAGTGAGATAGCTTTAACAAGCAATACGAAATAAAATTTAAGCGATATTCAATTTTAGCGATCTCAGAACCCTCGCTAAAAATGCCAAAATTAAAACCTCGCGAAAAATTCTGCTTAAACGGCAATTTCTAAAAATTGTGTGCCAGAAATTTCAAATATTTGCAGAAGAGAAATGGTAATTCAAAAAAATAATATTAATTCACATCTTAATTATACTCGAGGCAGTATTAAATATTTTGAATAAACTTAAGTATTTCTTGTTTTAAATTTGATCCGATATATAATTGTAGTTCTGTCTTGTTATATTTTCAGCCTTTGATGTTTTCTTAAACACTATTTTTCAAAGAATCTTTTGACAAACTAGATGAATTCAGCTTTTCCTTCGTCAGCTATATTTATGAAGTTATATTCCATCACCTGTATATGGTGTTTATGTCTCCCATCTATTCGATACTCATTAACATAATCTGAGTATGATCCTTTCTAAACCGAAGAATTTTTAAAAATAAAAATACCATCCATACTTAAAATTGTCTTAATTCCACACAACCAGAGATTTTATGCAAGATTTTATACAAAAGACGCACATGGAATGTTTGAAATCCGAGGCAAGCTATTGACAGATAAGTTGATGTTACAGGGATTTCTACAACCTCATTTCAACAGCATTTCGTAGATTCTGTGGTCTTTATCATAATACAACTTATCATAAAGCCGTTTTTTGACTGACATATTTCATACCAATTTTGTAAGGCGTTTTTTATACTAAATTTTATAATGGATTATCCGTCTACTTGATCAATACAAAGGGCTCACGGCGGGTGTGACCGGTAGAGAGGGGAGGCTTACTCCTCCTAGGCCCCTTGATCCCACCTCCAGGAATTCAAGGGGTTCGTGTTTTATGTCCTGATTACAAATTTATATTGTTTGTAGTTTTTTTAAAGATGAATCACCGTTTTATCTTCACCTATTTTATTGAAAGCATACCTTTCCTATATTCGCTGTGATTGATATGATTTACTATTCCGATAAAAAAAGAATAAAAAAAGTCTAAAAAGAATTTAGTAAATTTTGGAGGAAAATGTGTCCTTTTACAATAAAAAATAACTTTTAAGCCTTCAAGTTGATTGTGTTAAAATGTAAAAAAAAAAATTGGAACAAGATTTTGTTTTTTTGCCGAAAAGGATATCTCCCACTATTATATCTCTGAGATTCATTGCATGACCTTAAAAACATTTAAATTAAGAGCAGTATCTTAAGTCAAGATCATTTCACACCTTTTCAGCAGCATAAGAAACAACATAACTCGTGTTTGAAATCATGCAGAACATGGTTTCAAAGTTGTGGTCTGGAAACGATTAACCACTCATTGCTTATTAATCATGACCTATATACTAGTAACTTAATCAAGATCATAAAAGGTCATGGGAAACAACATATAATATACTGATCTTTGTACCAATTCCAATTCAGTGTTAGAGAGTATTGTATAGCACTATATCTTATTTCCTAGTGACTTTGAATGAAGCTTGTTTGAAACAGAGACTGACATGCAAAAAAACCAAATGATATCCTCCCGTTCGGATAGACATATAGTTGTAACTTTCTTTTGGTGTTTGGACATGTCCTAGTATATATAAGAATGAACATGTATATTTTCTCCTTGGGACATGTCGCAAGATTGTCAAATTTGAAGATGTATCATTCATTTATTTGTAGGTTTAATTTCCATCGTATGAAAAAGAAAAAAAAACAGAATGTAAACATAAATTAATTTTATTGAGCAACTCTATATCAATATTAATACAGACAAATTCAAAGATATACATGTATTTGTGTAACACTTAATTAAGTTAAGGAGAAATTTACAATATTTCTGATATGTTTCATAGATATTATATTCTAGAAAAGATACAAAGGAATTTTTGTGTTCATTTTCCCACCCACTCCCCTTGCCTTTTGTTAAACAAGTTATGCCTTTTTCCCATTAAGAAATCGCTATACCGTTTTCCCATTAGGAAATCGCTATAGCGTTTACCTTTGGAATACCTTTTCCCAAGAAATTCTGAATATCGTTTTGTTTTATGATTTCTTTTTCCAAGAAATTCAGAATATTTTTTATCAAGACTTCGCTTCCCGAGGAACTCCGAAAAACGTTTGCCCTGACGTAAGCGTTTGCCAAGAAATTCTGAATACCTCTTTGGAAATCCGCGTTTTCCTAAGAATTCAGAAAATCTTTTACCTAGAAATTCAGAATATTTCTTAATTCTTTGATTTTCCATGTTGTTTTCAGCCGGAATTTGGTTTTTGGGTTCATTAAAATCGTCACCATATTCTTCCACAGGGGAGTGGATGGAATCTGAACAGTTTTCGTCCAAATTGTGTTGTGTTTGAAGTCGATCAGGATCAAAATTTTCGGCATTTTCCTGGAAATCCTCATTGATGTTTACTGGAGACTGAGCTAAAGATTCCTCCCTTGAATTAAGTCTGTTTTCTGACAAGCTTCTTAAAGCAGATTTAAGAAGATTTTCCTTATTGGAATCATCTGAAATAAAAATGAAATGTTGAATTAGCTTGCAAAAAATGTAAATTTATTAAATGTTGGTAACCTTGTGAAGTTTTGCAATGTATCGATGTATATGCACTTGATTTACTTGATAGAAACATTGGTATTTTTTTCTTTGCTTGTTTGGTTCAAATTTGTTTACATATTCATGAATTTTGTATAATCCTCAAGCAAATCCATATCCCTAATTAGCAGAATACTTAACATGTAATTGATCCCCTTCGAATATATTGATAGAAAGATTTATTGTTTATGAAGTAACTATTTCTAATTCTTTTTCCTTTTTATAAATAGTAATGTTTTTATGTTAATGTTTTTATGTTTAAGGTTACCAACGTTTGACAAGTATGACATATAACAGATAAAAACTGTAGAAGTTATCCTGCGTATCAGAATATTTCAATCGAATAAATACGATATATATTTTAAATACGATATATATTTTATTATTTGTGAATATAAAAAAAGTTCGTACGAAATGTACATTTTGAATATTTTTGTGAGAAGATCTGAATACATTTTTCTATACAGTCGCAGGATAGCTTCAATCAATAGATTAATAAATGGTGACGATATAAATAAATAAAACACAAGAAAACTCAGAGCGCTGTCTCTTGTTTTCTACTGTCGCCATTTTGACATGCCAAACCGTTAATTAAGCATCATGCAGTCACATGATTTCAATAAGCATGCCACATGATTTCAATAAGCATGCATTGTATGAAATATTCTTTCATGCACCAAATAATTGATTTATTACGGTTAAAATGTTTTAGCACTCTATCTATCATACATACATATACAAGAAATTGATACGAACTAGCTCTATAAAACTCCATTGATTTGCCTCTAGATGACCCCGCATTCTAAGACCAAAATTGTGTATGAATGAAAAAAAATAATGAAAAAGAGAACAATACCCTCATACAAAATGACATATTATACAAGAGAGGCCTTCGGGCATTGACAGTCACCTGAATATCATGAGTTTCTATTGATATGACCATCCCAGCCTATCTGTAACTCATAACTCATTTGAAATGAATTTTGCAGTAGGTGAGGACTCTCTCTCTCTCTCTCTCTCTCTCTCTCTCTCTCTCTCTCTCTCTCTCTCTCTCTATATATATATATATATATATATATTCATTACCATATTCGTGAAACGTGTTCCTAGATAATTAGGAGTAGCAGAAAATTTTAAATATAAAGGATATTTTAAATATTTTTTACGAATTTAACCCAAATAACTAGTCTGTGCTCTTGGGACATACATTTCATAAATTTGGTAAAGGGCAATTAGCTTAACCTCCACCATCCATAAGGTTTGTTTTCTAAATGTCCAGGAATAATTAAAGTTTTCAAATTATACACTGCAAATATGACCAAATGAGCCCCACAATGATGCCTCAGTACTGGATCCATGGAATGTATATTTCAATAGGTAGATGGCTTAGGTTCATTTTAATCATGCAAAGTTTGCCTGCTGAATAATAACATGTAATGCATTTTCAATACATGTAAATGATATACTTATGTCCAACCTGGAGCCTGAACCTAGGGGAAAAAATTGCCTGATTTTCGTCACACCCTCAGACCCAAAGGAGGCAAAAACCGTTGAATCACTATTTTCTGTTCCCATTTACCCATAAATGCTACCATATATTAAAATTGGTACATGCGTTCAACAGAAGTTGAAATGTACGGAAGTACATTCACCCCCACGACGGAGACAAACAATGTACAAAGAAGGGAGAAAATGAATAGCAACAGGTCATCTGAGAGACTCAGGTGACCTACAAACAACATCCCCACCCAACCCCCTCAAAAGAAAAGGGATGTTGAAAATTGCCATGTAGAAATAACAAAACAATTTCAAAATGAAAGTAGTCACTAAGTTAATTGTTCTCTACATCAAAAGTTATTGAAAGCGTCGGAGAACACCTTTGTTGAGGTTCTACATAAATTAAGTACTTGTGTTAATATACATATTGCCTAGAGTGTGCGTTTTTAATTTCAAATATCCATAACATTTCCAGGCTAAACAATTAAGACAGAGAAAACTCGATCAGAAATGCCTTATGGACACAGTTTAATGAAAGACATTAAATGCATGCCTTTCAACATGCTTATCAGATATTAATAGCAAAATTGTCATGCAATAAGCGGCAAATTAAAACACTACGATTTCTAGAGTTAGAGATAAAAGCTCTCAGGAATCGCCACTGTTGACTGCATATTCTTTTACTTAAATATACATTGTTTTTAATCAAGAAAATAAATTCTACATATGAAGAATGTCCATGCTTTGTAGTAGTGATTTCTTGGAAGTAATCTATTGATAGAGTACATTTAGCATATGGAAATATGTCGCCATTGTGTGGTTTTTATCAATCCTTTGGTTACTTTTCGATCTAATTTAATCCTTATATCTATAGTTTTTCTTTAAAATGATTTCAAGGAAGATTCAGATGGAAAATAATGTTTTTGTTTTTTCAAAGATGATGAAAACCACACCAATGTTATTATGAGATGAAAATTCAAAATGACCCCTTCTATAGGAATGATTGATGACTTTAATCTACGCATGCGCTTCAAACAATCAGCAGCTATAGGGCATATCTTCACAAACTATAAATCTACAGTTTTCTCTTCAAGAATGAAAATTAATAATATTTAAGGACGGATTCTTGTCTGGTTTCTGACTCAATAAAATATTCAAAGTAATTATTGGCTTATTTAACTTATATACTTAGGTGTAAGGGATTTAAAAGATCATATTTTTTCTTTCCTCCTCATAATTGTAATAATTCTAAATAGAAATGGTAAACTGAGATTGAAATCTGACAGGCAATATATTTTTGGCGGAGCGATGGCGTATGAAAATATCTCCTTTTCTGCTTCTCAAAATTGCTACAAGAACAATGAATTTAATTAAAATTTTTAAATAATCAAAGACTTGAAAAAAATTCTATTGTAACTTAAATTAGTAATAATAGACTAGAGGTTTAAAAAATGTCAAATAGATAAGATTTTCCAAACAAACTACAATCTTGTTAGCTTTTGAAAGCTTCTAATCTAAGCAAGATTTGAACAAAAAAATCAATAAAATGTTTTTTTCTCTCTAATTAAACGGTCAAAACTTTTTGTTTTTGTATCATTTAGTATCTTTATACGACTACTTCACCATATGTGAAAATAAGAAAAATTCAAACATAAGAAGCATATAATGAAAACTCATATTCCCTAAAAAATTAAGAAAAATAGAGGAAATTCGGAGTAGTCAATAATTTTATCTATTTCAGTTAGATTATTTATATCAATATGGTAGTATCAGCTGAAAGACCCTATATGGTAACATCTTTTTATGCAAAAAGAAAAACATTTTATCTTTTGAAATAGAAGTAGGCACCACATTATTTGCAACAAAAATATTTTATTCTTAACGTCAAGGAAAACGATAATGACTTTGACCAAACCTTACTTCTAAAATAAAACGGTCAAATTTAATCTAACTGATACCATAACTTAGTGATATTGTCTTCTTGAATCTATGAAAATTTCAATAATTTTTAAATATCGATCAGAAATAAAAGAATCCCTCCTTAAATAAATGCGCTTGCAAAAGATGTTTTGAGACTAAGCTTTTTAAATTGATATACTGAATCTCAGCAGCTGAGCGGATAAATCATTAAAATTAAGAGATAAATTCATATATAATACAGATATGCTGAGAATTTATAAAAATGCTTCAGATGTAATATTATCAAAATGCTATTCATTTTCTCATAAACAAAATTCCTGGATCTGTTTATAAGACGTTAATATATTTTCTTTAATTTCAAGCCTTCTAAGTTTTAAAGCTCAAAACAGTAGATCAGTTTGCAAAGAAGAAATTCAAGGGAAAGGATGCATTGGAGCCGAAAAGGATGTTTGGACGGAAAACCTATTGTATTTAAAATATTATCTACGCACAAAATCTCGACTTACGGCAAGGCCACTTGGTGATGATTATGAGCTTTTTGCAGATGCTTTTTCAGTTCGCTTCGCCTACCTACAAACATTGGTGGCTGGAAACGCTTTCGAAGTATGTGATTATGCGCATGCTTGGCGCTCGCCAAGTCTATTTTACCATTTCTTTTTCCAATAAACACTGGCGTTTCAAAACGCTTTGACTTAATATCGGAAGACCTCAACAGCTCATTTTCCTCAAGTAAATTTCTTTGTCTATCCCCACTCCCTAAATCATTTATAGAATATGAATTTAAGCTATGGAGCAATGAATCTGCGATGCTATTGCGCAAGCGCTGCTCATCTGGCACTGACCTGCGTAGTGCTATATAGCTATAATAAATAGGCTTGTCTTCATTATCTGCCCTCCGTCGACCCACAAACAAAGGTGTCCCTCTTTTACCGACAAGTTTAGGAGCATTCATGTTTCCTCCCCTGCCAACGACGAGGTGCATGCGGCGTTTTCCTATGAAATAAGGTGCTCTACGCTTGCCGACAAATAATGGATGCATCGCTCGTTTATTTGCGTCAAGCTCCTGTATTTCTTCGGATTCGGGTAACAAAAGTGTTGATCTCTTGAATCCTATCTGAGGTATATATCTTTCTCTTTTCCCGAGCGGATTACTATCGCGCTTGCCAACAAATAATTGTCTGTTTAAGCGAGTATCACGCCCAAATGCGCCATCCCTGTCAAGTGGATAAATGTCATAAGGCTCTTGCTTCAGAAGTTCATTTCGAATAGCAGCTTCCAATGATTGCAATGCGTCCTCGCTTTCGTCATCGCGTTTGCCGATGAATTTGGGAACATATGGCGACCGCTTAACTCTGTCTTCCGTACTCTCTGTAGCCTTTGTCTGTTCTTCTACATTGCAAAAATAGAACAAATATTTCTTTTATAAAAAATAAAAAAACAAACAACAAAACAAAGCAAAACCGTCTATGACGAGACTAAATGTCATACTTTTTGCATTGATTCTAAAACTTTTAATACATGTATGTCACAATTGAAATTTTCTACCAACTCGACATCTGTTCCAGATTCAGTGATTGATTAGGACGAATCGGCTAAAATAAAAAAGCCTAGACTCTCATTTCTCGCTTTGTCTCTAAGCACAAAGAGAAAAAAAGGAACCTTCAAAAAATATATTTATAAACAAGTGCTACAGACCTGTATCCCGAATTCAGAACACATTTAATGTCACAATTGGTTTTTTTTTTTTGAATCATTAAAACTAAATCTTTCTTTGTATAAGTAAAATTAATAAGTTAAGCCACATAAAGTAAAATATTTTTTCAAGAATTCTCAGTAATGTCCTATAAAATGATTTTTTTTACAGATTCGCAAGGAATCGATAAAGGGTTCATTTTTTTTTTAAACATAATAGAAAAGTTACATTTTTTTTAAATATTTTAGAATTTGATATTCACATAATATACACCCAAAATAAGCCTTAAAATATATCCCACTCTATGTGTCCAATTTTCTTTGTATCTGGGAAGTTTCCTTACTGTTAATGTTGTTGCTTCACTATTCAGCCAATTAACTCACATACAGAGTGATTCTAACCCTTGACCTTATATAATTTACATGTCAAACATCAAACTCAGAAAGCGCGAATTCGGTAAAGAAGCATCAGTTTGGCTTTAATAACCCACTTGTTAACCAAATAACTTGGTCTATCCAATGGCATTTAAGGATATTTAAGATCCGAGCAATATTTTATATGAAATCTAACTCACCATCTGCCCTCACCCCTACAGAAGAAAACGCCCAAAGTAAGGTTAGTATCGTTCCAAAAGTTAACTTCATTTCTTGTACCCTGTAAGAAATAAGAAAACATAATGAATATTTCACTACTATGAGTATTTGAAAGTAAAGAGTTTCATAAAGTTCAGTTGAGATGCATTTCCGGGATTCCTCTGTAAAATCTCACACTGCATGAAGATTTTGCAATATATTATACGTTTGACTTTTTTGGTTTTAAGATTATGAAAGAAATTTTTCGCACATATTCCTCGGTTGAATTTTGATGTCTTATTGTTCGATATCCTAGCCCATGGGGCCAAATATTGAACAACCTTTTTTTTCTTCGTTCGTTCGTTTGTTTGGTTTTTTCAATCCTGAGAGGAAGGTTCTTGAAAACTTTATTTCATTACATGTATATTCTTCTGTAAAACTAAGACCCCTACCCCAGCTCTAGGGGTCATAAGTTGAACAAATTTTATCTACAATTAATACATTCTATTTGACTAACTAATATTGTGTATCGCTGTTCTTCTGAAGAATTCTTTGAAATAATTTTCTCTAAGTATTCCTATAAAATCCGTCGATCCTTATCTGTGCCCTACCATAGTCTCTAGGGTGAAATATGAAGATAGCAAACAGCAATTAAGCTCAAAAGTCCATTGAAACAACACATTTGATGCAGAGCAAACAGGGACTTCTTAAAACATAAAAAATGGGATCAGGTGCCACGGAGGAATAAGCATCCCCTGTCGACCGGACACCCCCCGTGTGCATCTTGTCGTGATCGGGCAAACGGAAAAGTTCGTAGGCAATTTAGCGTAAAGGTAATGACCTAAAAATTTGTATGAAAAACGTCAATCAACATTCGACTGAATAATAGATTGTATTTGCTGACAAGGCCATTGTATGTGCCATAGCATTTGGGGATTTTTTTTTTTTAACGAAACTGTTGATATTCTTTTTTCATCAACTTATTTGCCAATAATTTGTCTCGTTTAAGAAATCGTTCGTACTTAGAGCATGCTCTTGCGTATCGAATCAGCTGGGAGTGTCATTATGAAACAAAATTGAAACCACGCCAGAGATTTTGAACGTACGTACGTTTGATTAGTTTTAAATCTACATTTTATAGCCTCCTTTGTACTCTTGTTTTGGAGAGCATTTTTTTTCATATGATCCCACATATGAATTTCACTAATCCTTGATAAAAACATGAACTTCAATTTTAAGGATGGTTTCAAGAATCCTTTGTGTTACATGTAAGTTTGGTTGAAATGAAGTGAAGAAGCAAAAAATATACGACACACAACTGACAGATTAGTTAAGACTGACGAACATCGCATAAACCTTGGTCAAAGAAACTCAACTGAGCCTTTAGTAGCTTGTGCTTTAAATAAGTAATCTATTCTTGTTAGAGGAAGTGCTCGAAAACGAAACAGTCATCCTCACAACGTCAGGGGCCCTGAGTCCACTCGTGGCTTTGGGACTCCTGAAAAACTAGATTTTTTTTTTTCGAACAAGTCTCTCTTGATAAGAAGAACCCAATCAAAATGGGGCTTTCATAAGTTGACATAAACAATTCAGACAAGAAAGAAAGAAAGCAGTTCAGTGCACGTGCAATTACACAAATTGTAGTCGAAAGGCTAACTGTGATTGGTCGAGAGATAAGAAAAACTTCCCCGAAAGAAGTCGCTGCAGTCAGTCCGTAAATTTATCAGTGTCCAACGGCCACGAATGGACTCAGGACCCCCTAACGTTGTGAGGATGCGAAAGAGTAGGACATGTTTATCTCTTCTCGATTTTTTTTACATTAAAAAATGGCATAGAATGTAACACAGTAGTCAATAACCTCATGAACGAATTAATTTTCCCTAATAAAGTAGGTACCCGAAATACTGTAATAAACGAATTATATTTCCCTAAAAGGAAAGGGTGTATTTCTGTCACGGAAGCGAACAAAATCAACAATGGTCATGTCATTGTGTATATATATATATATAGTACGTATTTTTAAGAATATTGACATACAGAACATAATACTTTATTAAAAGGGGTAAAAATAAAGCAAACAAAGTAGTCCTTTTCGTAATGTACGAAATTGAATTTGCGAATCATTATTTGTGGAGTAAGCTTTTGGTATAAAAGTCGAATACAAATACATGTATAACAAATCTCTTAAGATGCAGTATATCATCATTTGACCTGTGGAAAATATTTAAAAAACATAAAAATGCTATTCAATTCTAGCTTAAAGTGAATTCTCTTCCACAATTCATACACTACAAGGACAGCACACAGGATCCACTGTCAGAAAATTGGACATAAACTGCTTTGTAGAGTGGTACTCATATGTATCAAATCAGAGAATATCCAGGGATGTCATTAATTCAATAAACATAATTTGTTTACATTGGCCTTCTCTGTGGCTTTGAGAATAGTGAATTGGTAGAATACAGAGGGATTTCGAGTTGATCGTAAAAGGCATGGAAGTTCTGTAATATGCTATTAAAGCCGTCGTGTCGATATTGATGGAATTTTAAAGGTGACATTTGAAACATTTGTGTCGTTATGTGCTAATGTATCAAAACCATTGAAACGTTTCGTTTCATGTGTCGTGGAGAAATCTCGAGTTATAGTTGCTACCTACGTGTAAAGTTCTTAATTCTTGAGGAGCCAGTATTGACCTAAAACGAAATGTCGAATCCATTAAAAGAAGTGAAGGGCACATTTTTTTTTAATTCTTCAGGTCGTTGTACTTGTAGCCTGAAGCTTGACGATTAAAACGAGAGAAGGGGTAGGGCGGTGGCAAACTGATATGAAAAAAAAGTTAAACATAAACAAAACAAAAACAAGCAAGCAAAAACAAAAAAAACTTCATAAGAAAACAAACAAAAAATCAATATATTTAGAAGAAAACAACACGAAAGCGTGTCGGTTTCTCTATTTTCGTGAACTATGTATTGATACATGTACATGCATTTTCAACTTTATTCTGTAAAATCACATTTGGGATTTTAGTCTGAATTCAGTTCATATTCATACAACTAAAGTCTGTAGCATAATTAAATTGAAGATTTTAAAAGTGTTCGATTGGTCATGAAATGCCGTTACCGTCTTCGTCGCTTAGTCGCTTTAAATTGCTTCTATCCCTCTGGCACAATAAAGTGCGTGGGGAGAATATTGAGTTGTAAAGTTGTGTCCTTATAACCTGAATTTAGACAATCCCCAATTCTTGATCCTCCGAAAAATCATGCAGTTCGAAGTGTTAAAACAATGCGTGTTACAATGTATCATGTGCGTTCGTGTGATAAAGTGTTTAACATTAAAGCAGATATTCTGTTAACTTCGCCGATTCACATGCCTAGAGGCCTATGATGTACATGTACATTATAGATCTAGAAAATAACGTAGATTTCTAAATATGGCTATAGGTGGTCAGTTTTGTTTACTTGAGTACCTGCAAAGAATCATGAATTTGAAGAAAAAAAAACGCCCCTTCAGACGGAAACATTAAAATCAAGTAGGTTTCAGTGTACATTAAACAGTTTTAAATTAATGAGTGAACTAATGACAAATAAAACGCCCTATAACCGCATTGGGAACGATGAATGATACAGATGGTTGCGGGAGGCAAAATTCCGGCAGATGATTGGTGACCAGCGATCCCAAAGGACACCTGATCAATGAGTGAAACTATGACAATTAAAACGACCAGGACTATGGGTTACTTTAAAAGATCATCGTCCAACTCTCGTGAGAATCGTAAGATGGTTCTTTATGAGTTGCTTGTAGAACTCTGCACGCTTGTCTCCTCAGCTTTGAAAGGTGGTTTTAATGTTGATTGCTCATTTGGGTAACGTTTGCTCTGGATAAAATGTTTATACATCTAGATCAAGTAAACGATATGCATGTGCGCAATTTGCCCTTCATACTTTAGTTTGGTCGTTGAATTAGTTAATAGATTTGGTGTTATAAATATTAAATCTTTGAAAAATTCCCATTTCGCAAACAGGGAACAGTTACATTAACGTTTTTGCTGGCAAATATATGAATTATATTTTCATAGTATTAGAAGAATCGTAGGAGCACTCTGAAAATTATTTTGGAAACTTGTTTACTCTGCAAGTGGAAATGGATTTCGGATGTTCTCTAGGGTTTTCCTGAGGTGATTTCTAGAGACTGATTTTCAATTTGAAGCTCGAGACACTGCAAATTAAGTACACACGGTTCACTCAATTTCAGCGCGACAGAGTACTTCGATAACGAGAATGTTGAAATTTATTGCTATCTAAATATTTCATGTAAATGTAGAAAATCGTAAATATTGCACATGGACTAATTTAATTCTACGTCACATATCACAAGCAAATATTCAGATAAATTGTCTTGAGTAAAGTGGAAAGTCAAAACGGAGAGGAAAAATATAACGTATAAAGAGAGTTCATTGAACGTTTCTTAATTGATCCGATTATATGATGAACATGAATAGTGATTTTTTTTTGTTCGCTTCTTTCTTTAATTCATAAGAAAAAGAAAAGAAAATACACAATGTATGCTACCAGCGATCATTTTTTCCTATAATCCAATTGATGTGAATGTTGAAAATGGTAAAGAATTTTTTTATAAGCTCTGCCTTAGATATCTTCATTACTGCCGCTAAAGAATCTATCAAACCCAGGTTATAACAATCCTACCCAAATCCAGGAATTCTCTTTTCTACAAGGTCCTACCATTATCGTTAAGTCAAAACCATGGACCGGACACAGTTGTGTCTTGACAACGAAACTAATTATCTCGTACTCAATGGTGAATCGGAAATGCGCGGTATCTTTTTCACCAAAGCTTTTTTTTTGTCCCTGACGTGTTTTGTATGTACAAAACACGTCAGGGACATAAAAAGAACAAGAAAAACGAAGTTGGCAGTGAAAGGAAATAAGCTTTCATAGGACTTAAACCCTTTTTTTATTTTCTCTAATTGAACACGTATTAAAATAAAAAAATAAGACTTCCGCTTATTGGTTATAAGATCCCTTTTGCATTGTATGCGTAAGACAAAAAGCTTAACACAACAAT